GCAGCGGACTTGGGGACGCCTGGGGCAGAGCTGCTGGGGTGCTGCTGGTTTGGTCCGGTAGCGCCGCCCCTTGGCGCTGTGGGACCAACCTGACAGCACCCCAGCTGCTCTGCCCCAGGCATTCCGATTCCCGATTCAGCTGCTGCTGAAACTGACCAGCAGCGGCTGAATCGGGGACGCCTGGGGCAGAGCTGGACTATCAGAGGGGGGGGGTTATGAAGAGTCTTGGGTGGCATCCCCCCCACACCACCCTACACCCCACCACTATCTAACTTCCGATAGTCCGGCATATTTGATAATCCGGCACCCCTTGGGTCCTAAAGGTGCCGGATTATCAGAAGTTTACTGTATATATAACTCATACAGCTGGAAGGGACCTTGAAAGATCATCAAGTCTAGTCCCCTGCCCTCATGGAAGGACCAAGTACCATCCCCTGACAGATTTTCCCCAGATCCCTAAATGGCCCCCTCAAGAATTGCACTCACAACCCTGGGTTTAGCAGGCCAATGTGCAAACCACTGAGCTATCCCTCCTTGTGCTACTGTTTTCAGGAGTCTTCATAATATGCAGAAAGAGAGAGTAATGTATAGCAGTAGTCTGCTGCAAGTCTATCACAGGCAATGGGAAATTCTTCCTTATCTTTCCATGCAGTATGAAAAAAAGAATGTTCTAATTGTTTTTTTTAAAAAAATTTAATTTCTTGCATTTAACTTATTTAAAAACTTTTGGGATTTTTAGGGTTTAAAAAGTTGCCCCGACCAGCCAGATCTTTTCTTGCTTTTGAGACAAGTTCAATGTAAACAGCTTTTTCAGTCACACAAAGAGCTTCCAGATGCCATCTTGGAGGAACTTCATAAAACTGTCATGTCCTCCAACTTCACTTCAGTAACAGCGTGGCATGTAAGTGGATCTTTCTTCCTTTCTTTCTATTACAGTGGATTATCTGAGAAGAGGGGACTCTGACTTAACATTCCTCCTCTTTGTACACTAACACATGGTGAGATGGGAGTACTATCTAATGATCTCTATTAAAAGACAGAAAAAGCAAAATGTATATGTTAATTACGTTAACTCTAGTAGGTTGTCAATTTTTGCCGATTCTCACTTCCTCATCCCATACTCAGCTTGGAACCTAATGTATTATAACATCTTACTAGGCATAATTAAATGGTTCCCAAAAAACACTTAAGATGATTCGTGAACAGTGTGCAAAACACTAGATGTGCAGCCCCTTTTTTTCTTCCATTTGCATGCTCTGCACAGATGAGTAGCTCTTTCTCTTGTTCAAGAGCATTGTGCCTGATCTTTTCCCCCTTATTGCTGGAAGAGAGGACATAGCAATCCTCAGTACAGTATATAGTAGGTCTGGAGAGTTCCCCGTGCTGGATACAGATGCTCAATGAATCCTTCTTTACACTAGCCAAGAGTCACTCCATTCAAGAGTTCAGGGTTGTATTATTCCCTCTGGGTGTGGAGGCCCTCGAGATCCAGTGCAGGTGGATTCCTGAGGGGATCCACGGCAAGAGACATGTATGCTGAAAGCTCAGAAAGGTGTGGCTCCAGAAGGGAAAGGGGCCTGCAGCTTAATCCCAGGTGCTAAGGTTGCCAACATTGTATTTTTTTAAAAAGGCAATATTTTCTTTGCTATCTCTGTCCCACCCCTCTTCCCAATGTTATTACTAATAAAAGTAAATTTATTAAATTTGCACAGTCAAAAATACCAAATGATCTGTTTTAACAAGCACTACCAATCATACTGGTTTTCTGTTTCAGTGGCTGGCAAAAGTGTACCAGTCTCAAAGAATGATGGTCGCAGCAGAGATGTGTTACAGAAAGAGTCTACAGTTAGCATCCCAGCACGGCAACTGGAATGGGAAGTTATCAAGTTTGCTCAGGCTAGCTTTGCTTGCACTGGAAATCTGCATGGTAAGATAACCACAACTATTATGATAAAATGAATTGATTTACAATATAAGCCATTGTTTTATATCTATCGTAATCTTTCAGATGAAGCCCTCCTGTAAACTGTGGGAAACTATAAGTCTTTTGTGAACTATCCCGTAGTAATTAGCAGAAATGGTATTTTAATTTCATGCTAATACGATTGGGAATAAACCTAATATGTTCTAATTTAAAAAAAACTATTTGATTGAAAAAACTTTTGGAACAACTTGATAAACTGAATAGTAACAAGTCACTGGGACCAGATGGCGTTCACCCAGGAGTCCTGAAAGATCTCAAATAGGAAATTGCAGAATTATTAACTGTGGTTTGTAACCTATCCTTTAAATCGGTTTCTGTACCTAATGATTAGAAGATAGCTAACACGATGCCAATAATGTCAGTACATGGCAAATTAGTTGAAATTATAGTAAAAAATAAAATTGTCAGACACATGGATGAATATAATTTGTTGGGGGAAAGGCAACATGGTTTCTGTAAAGGGAAATCATGCCTTACTAATCTGCTAGAGTTCTTTGAGGGAGTCAATAAATATATGGACCAGGGGGATCCAGTGGATATAGCTCGTCAGTAAAGTAAGTTGTCATGGTTTAAGAGGAAAGGTCCTTTCGTGGATTGCTAACTGGTTAAAAGACAGGAAACAAAGAGTAGGAATAAATAGTAAGTTTTCCGAGTGGAGAGAGGTAACTAGTGGGGTTCCCGAAGGGTCTGTCCTGGGACCCATCTTATTCAACTTATTTGATCTAGAGAAAGGGGTAAACAGTGAGGTGGCAAAATTTGAAGAAGATACCATACTGCTTAAGATAGTTAAGACGAAAGCAGACTGTGAAGAGTTTCAAAAAGATCTCACCAAACTAAGTGGGCAACAAAATGGCAAATGAAATTTAATGTGGATAAATGTAAAGAAATGCACATTGGAAAAAATAATCCCAACTGTATTAACAATATAATGGGGACTAATTTGGCTACAACTACTCAAGAAAGATCTTGGAGTCACTGTGGATAGTTCTCTGAAAACATCCACTCAATGTGCAGTGGCAGTCAAAAAAGCAAATAGAATGTTAGGAGTCATTAAAAAGGGGATAGAGAATAAGACAGAAAATATCTTATTGCCTCTATATAAAACCATGGTACACCCACATCTTGAATACTGCATACAGATGTGGTCGCCTCATCTCAAAAACAATATATTGGCATTGGAAAAGGTTCCGAAAAGGTCAACAAAAATGATAAGGGGTTTGGAACAGGTCCCATATGAAGAGAGATTAAAAAGACTTGGACTTTACATCTTAGGAAAGAGGAGACTAAGGGGGAATATGAAAAAGGATTATAAACTCATGACAGGTGAGGAAAAAGTGAATAAGGTTATTTACTTATTTCCACAGTAAAATAACTAGGGGTCACCAAATGAAATGAATAGGCAGCAGGTTTAAAATAAACAAAAGGAAGTTTTTCTTCACTCAGCGCATAGTCAACCTGTGGATTTCCTTTCCAGAGAATGCGGTGAAGGCTAGAACTTCAACAGGGTTCAAAAAAGAGCTAGATAGATTCATGGAGGTTAGGTCCATCAATGGCTAGTAGTCAGGATGGGTAGGAATGGTGTCCCTAGCCTCTGTTTCTCTGGAGGTGGGTGACAGGATGAATCACATGAGGATTACCTGTTGTGATCCCTCCCTCTGGGGCATTTGGTATTGGCCCCTGTCAGCAGACAGGATACTGGACTAGATGGACCTTTACTCTGATCCAGTATGGCCGTTCTTATGTTCTTTAGCTTCTCTCCAGGAATATTTTATGTCTAAAGGAAAAATATATGGAATAATCAACTAAGAGCAATAAACTTGTAAAGAGAGTAATTCTCCCCCTAAGTTTTATTTTCTAATACTAGATTATTTTGTCATTCAAATTCACTGTAGTACAACTTTCACTTTCAAGACTCTTCATGTCACTGAACATGTGACATTTGTATGAGTTGCATTCATTCGGTTTTAGTATTTATTTTGATCTTTATTGCCTAGAGGCCTCACTAAGGTTTGGTGTGCAGTTGTGCTATTTGCTGTACACATTTATAGATAGTCTTTCCTTGAAGAGCTTGCAATCCAAGGAAAGGAACTCTAACCTCTCCCCTTAAAAGGCTCAGATAAAAACAATTACAAAAGTTCCTTAAAGAAAATATTTGTCAGCTTTGAAATGCTTTTTCCAGAGATTGCACACTATCCTCTTTCAGCAGTGGTAGTACGGGTTGAACCTCTTTAGGCCAGAACTCTGGTCCGGAAACATCCGTGGTCCGGCATGATTAATTAGCTGGATGTCCACTTTTTATGGGTGTGGTCAAGTTTCACATGGTCCCATAAAGTTTGTTAATAGCCATTAGTCCTAGCTCTTAGTGTTCTATGTTCTTATTTAGCTCTGATTTACCCCTAAATGTCCTCTAACAGCAAAGTAAGCAGTTCAAGTGTTGGTAATGGTGCTAGACAATATTGACCTCTTGTGATCTGGAAAATTCTCTGGTTCAGAACCTGTCATGTCCCAAGGATGTCAGATGAGAAGTTCAACCTGTACTATATTTCCCTAAAAACTTGAAAGGTACAAGACTTTTTGGATCAACTATGCTGTAGGAGAAAGCATGTTCTCTTTTGTGATGGCTGTTTTTATGCAGTGATTTATTGTGGGTCATCACTTCATGAGAATAGGTTGGGAAAACACTAGTTAAGGTTTACCGTAAAAATAAAAACAAAGGCATTTTTTTCATATGCCCAGAATGTTCAAAACAAGAAACAGGGAGCTTTCTTTACACGAAGTAGTTCAACCAACTGATTAATTTTGATAGTGGAAAAAGTTCTCACAGCATAGGAAACCAAATAAAGCTCCTCGTAATGAGTACAAGAGCTACATACCTAAGGGAGAAAGGGGTATCTATGTGGGAATGTCAGCCTGTAGTGACTGCCACCTCTCACATGATTCAGACTATCTTGCACAAGATTCAAGTTTGACATAATTGAGTCTGTTTTTTGTGTAGTGTATTTCATACTGATCAGTCTTCATGGCTGATCAATTTTTTTTGAAGCATATAAATCTACTTTTTAAACAAATCTTTCACTACCCACATTCTTTTGCATAACCAGAGCAGTTTACAAAACAGTTTATTACAGGTTAGTTTGCTGTCAGCTTTATCTGTAGTATAGCTGCGCCCACTTAAATTGTGCCCACTCTTGGGGCTAGATTTTGGCATATTTTGTTGTCTTTAATTATTTTACTTAGTTATTAATAGCATAATTGAAATTTCTTAGTGTTGCATAATCTGTTTCTTGTTGTTTTCCCTAGTGAAACCCTGTACTCTTATAAAGCTTCAATATTTTACTGTATTTTCTGTTGTGCAAAAATTTTACTAAATATATTACCATCTCTCCAGTAATCTAATTCAGTGTATTTGGGGAAACATGAATTGCTGAATAGTGGTTTCATTAAAAAAGAAATCTCTTTAGAGTAGTATTTAAGATTTTCTGTTTTGACTCTGTGGATTTCTGAATATCCAATTTGCATAAATTCATCTTTCCAGTGTAGCCTTGCAAGTTTTCATTGGGTATACACAGTCATAAATTTTGTTCATCCTTAATATAATAAAAGTAATGCTGTTTTACTTTCTGTTAAAAATAACTCTGCAAAGTTGAATTTTGTGGGGATATGTAGGATTGCTGAATTTTTTTTAATTGTATCCTTTGGTATATATGGTTGTGACTACTTTCTTCCACTATTTGATCTGAGGAAGTGGGTCTGGCCCACGAAAGCTCATCATCTAATAAACCATCTTGTTAGTCTTTAAAGTGCTACATTGTCCTGCATTTTGCTTCAACTACCCCAGACTAACACGGCTACATTTCTATCACTATTCTACATGAAATAATGCAGTTCTGTTTTTCCAGTCTTCTTATACCCTGAGACTTAGCAATCTAATTTAACAAACAGGAAAGCTTAAAAGTTAGCAGACTTGCAGAATTAAAGGCTAATTATATGCAGATCGTGTGTGTGCAGACAAACATTCTTACACCCAGTGAAACATTTTGGCTAGTAACATAGTTATTAAAGTTTTCTTGCTGTCACCTTGTTAATAGGCTAATATTTCAAATGATCATTGGCCATCCTTGGTTCAGGAGGCAACAACTGAAGCCTTGAAACTTTCCTTCTGCCCACTGGCTGTTCTTCTGCAAGCGCTGCTACAGTACAATCACAAAATGGGAGCCAGGTATGTCTTCTCTAATACAATGTACCCCACACAAACAATATGGTTAAACTTTAAAAGCTGAAAATCTAGTTTGAAAGCAGAGAACCAAAGCAGTAGTATTTATAGTTGGGAGTCTTTTGTGATGTCAAAGACAACTACAGCTTTTGGTTAAGTTTTTAAAAAAACATATATGTAAAACTAAATTCAAGGTTTTGCAAGAACTGGTTGAGTAGGATGGTAGAAATGAGGCAGTCTAGTTCTAGCTTATGCTGCAATTCCATGGTCGGAGCTCCGCAGCTGGGGCAGAGTTCTGCAGCCACCTGGCTCCCCAGCCAGGACAAAGCTCTATGGCTGGGGCGGTGGGATGGAACCAGAGTTCCCTGGCTGCCCCTAGGGCTGGGCATGGAGTTCCCTGGCCATTGGAGCCAGAACACAGCCAGACCAGGGCAAGGGCCAGAGCTCCCTGGTTGCTGCTGGGGTCGGAGCTCCCTGGCTGAGGCTGGAGGTCCATGGCCATGGCCTGGCTCGAGCTCTGGCTGCTGGGACAGAACACCACGCCATGCCATGTGTTCCCCTCCTCCCCACACACACACACTCTGGGCTCCCTGTAGAGTTGCCAGTGCCCCTTATGGTGCTCTTGTCCTGCCAGCAGACCTCCCTTTTGCTGGGCTCTGTGGTCCAGGAACATCCGTGGTCCATACCAGACTACAGATGTTGGCATATAGGGAGTCCTGGTTAAGGGAGGTACATCCTGTACCAGTGTACTGACCAACTTGAATAATTGTATTTTGCCTATGTGAATTCCCCATTGGATGTCACTTGAACTTTTCACTTGCTATAAACTGTACATTACTGCTGCAGTCTCTCTCTCTCTCTCTCTCTCTCTCTCTTTCTCTCTTTCTCTCTCTCTCTTCTCTCTCTCTCTCTGTGTGTGTGTGTGTGTGTGTGTGTGTGTGTGTGTGTGTGTGTACACACACTGGTTGTACAAATGCATTTTACTAAAAACCTTTTTGCTAGTCTCAGGACTGGTATTCTAGTTACTGTTTCCATAAAAGCATCTGTGATAACTTAAAGGTTTATATTATAATCATTAAACAAGGGCAAATGCCTTTTAGGATTTCAAGAGGGTACTGCTGACCAATTACAGTAAAAGTCCAATAGTCCAGCATCCAATTGTATGGCACTCCCGATAGTCCGGCATCAAAATGGCATTAGCCTAGTGAGTGAGCTTCGGCAAAAAACAAGTCACAAGGCAGCAGCGGCAGTGGCTGAACTGAGTAAAACTGGGACGGGACCGAGTCAGTCTGCCGCTGGCATTGTGTGATGCTGGACAGTGCTTGTAAAAGGGTTAAAAACACTTTATATACAGTATGTACAGTCAGTGTGTGTGTGTGTGTGTTATATATATAAAAACCAGTTTATAGTACCTCCGGCATATCTGATAATCCGGCACCACCTAGGTCCCAAAGGTTCCGGATTATATGAAGTCTACAGTATTGAGTTTATTGGCAGCATGATAAACAACATGCTAGTGTAACAAGCATGTAAATTCCAGTAATGTTGAAATAAATATTTGCATTACTATTTGCAGCAGAAGAACACATTTCATGGTGTACTAAGAAAGGATTATTCTCAGGGAAGTTGTTACCCTAAGTGGAAATAAACCTAATTGTGCATCTCTGTGTTTGTTCTGAAAATGGGCTATGCTGGGCTCATAATTGGGAGAAGTGAAGTAGAATCATCAATGTTCTTTATATCTGTTATAAACTGTTGCCATCAGCTGCAAGACACTTGATTGCACATATGAATTTTAGTGAAGAGGACAATTTGGTTTCATGACAAGTTTAAAATTGTGATTCTTGCTATGTAGCACTGTTTAACAGTTTTCTTATTTTGTATAAATACACCACATTTATAGAGATTGCTCAGTATTAAATGTGATTTTTGTTCCCAGGGAGA